AAAGTTAAAATATATATATATATATATATATATATATATATATATATATATATATATATATATATATATATATATATATATATATAGTTGAGTTCAAATGAGAACCGTGAAGACTTATGTAGTCATGTAGAATACAAATAAATAAGAAGAAGAGGAAAAACTAATATATTGTGTCTTATGTCAACTTTAATACAAGCACTTGTATATATAGTGCTAACAAGATGATGAAAAATAAATACAAATGAGAAAACAAAGAGACACATGGAAAATCCAAGAGACACATGGGAAACCCAAGAGACATATGGAAAATCCAAGAGACACATGACTATTAATATAGATGATTAATATCATCAAATATCTCAACACCTCCCCTCAAGTTGGAGCATGCGGATCTGAAATGCCCAACTTGCGAAGAAGAAATTCAAATTGCCTTTGCCCAAGAGCTTTTGTGAAGATATCAGCTAATTGCGAATTGGTAGGAATGTAGGAAGGGAAGATCAAACCATCTTTAATTGCATCGCAAACAAAATGACAATCCACTTCAATGTGTTTTGTGCGTTCATGAAAGACTGGATTCTTTGCAATATGAAGGGCTGACTGACTGTCACAAAATAACTTTATGGTTTTGGGATGATGAACCACCGGACTTAACAACAAGCCCTTTAACCATTTGAGTTCACAAGTAACGGCTGCCATGGATCTGTATTCTGCTTCTGCAGAAGAATGAGAAACAGTAGTTTGTTTCTTTGTTTTCCACGAGATTAGAGAATGGCCAAGAAAAACCAACCAACCCGTAAGCGATCGCCGAGTAATAGGACATGCGGCCCAATCCGAATCACACCATCCCTGTAGCGTTAGATCAGTGTCTCCTCGTAGGAGAATCCCTTGACCTGGTGTACCTTTCAAATAACGGACAACTCTCAAAGCTGCCTCCCAGTGCTCATCATGTGGTTCTTGCATGAATTGAGACAACACATGAACAGAGTATACGAGATCCGGTCGTGTTACGGCTAAGTAGATAAGTCTTCCAACTAGACGCCGATAAGCTGCAGGATTAGAGAAAATTGGGCCACTAGCTAGGCCGAGTTTGTGGTTTTGCTCAATAGGAACACTAACCGGTTTGGCCCCTAACAATCCTGCTTCAGAAATAATATCAAGAGTATATTTCCGTTGACACAAAAATAGTCCAGAAGCGCTACGAGCAACCTCAATACCCAGAAAGTACTTTAGAGTGCCAAGATCTTTCATATGAAAACAATCGCTGAGATAAGCCTTAAATGTCTTAAGAGCAGCAGAATCATTTCCAGAAATGATGAGATCATCGACATAAACAAGTACATTTATCTGAATTCCACCCCGAGTAAAGGTGAATAAGGAGTAGTCGGAATAGGATTGTAAGAAACCATACCCTTTCAAGGCCGTAACAAGTTTTGCAAACCAGCACCTCGGTGCCTGCTTTAATCCATACAAGGACTTGCGCAATCGACACACTAATTTAGGATCGGATGCCTCAAAGCCAGGGGGAAGCTTCATATACACCTCTTCATCGAGATTACCGTGCAGAAAAGCATTGTGCACATCCATCTGATGTAGTTCCCAATTTTTAGATGCTGCAATGGCAAGAAGTGCACGAACAGTAGTCATTTTGGCAACAGGAGCAAAAGTTTCTGTGTAATCGATGCCTTCTTCCTGATGATTACCAAGAGCCACTAATCTTGATTTGAGTCTTTCAATCGACCCATTTGAGTTATATTTGATTCGATACACCCAATGACTTCCAAGAGCCTTTTTCCCAGGTGGGAGATGTTCAAGAGTCCAAGTTTGATTGTCTTCGAGGGCCCGGATTTCATTTGTCATAGATTCTTTCCAACCGGTATGTGTCATTGCCTCCTTAAAAGATTTTGGTTCTTTTTCAGAAATAATTGCTGCGAGAAAAGTTCTGTATGGTAGAGAAAAATTATCACAATTTATATAATGTGCTAAAGGATAGGGAGTACCTGAGGGTGACTGTGGAGACGGTGTGACGGGGGATGGACTTTTAGCAACAATAGAATTAATAACATAGTCGCGCAACCACATTGGAGGAACTTTATTTCTCATACCCCGACCCATCTCAACATTCTGATCCTGGTTATTTGGAGCAAGAGTAATAGTGTGTTGTTCAGGTTGTGAGCTGAATTCGGGTATGGAGTTTGACTCTGGTTGAGAGGTTGGCTCGAGTGTGGAGCCTGGCTCAAGTTGAGGGTTTGGCTCGTTTGTGGAGCTGGGCTCGGCTTCTTCAACAATTACAGAAAAATCTTCGTGAACAAATTCTTCATGAGGATTGGTAGTCGTATCTGTGAGGGGAAATGGAAAAACATCCTCAAAAAATTTCACATCGCGGGAAACAAAAAATTCTTTGGTGTCAAGATCAAACAGCTTCCAACCCTTTTTCCCAAAAGGATATCCCACAAAGATGCACTTTCGACTCTTGCTATCAAATTTATCTCCTTTTGCTTTTTGATTGTGGGCAAAGCAAAGACACCCAAAAACACGAATTGTGTTGTAAGATGGAGGACTACCAAAAAGAATTTCATAAGGAGTTTTGTTACCAAGCAACGGTGTTGGTGTCCAATTTATAAGATGTGTGGCCGCAAGAACACATTCTCCCCAAAAATAAATTGGCAAATTGGCTTGGAATCTCAAAGCTCTCGCTACATTGAGAATATGTTTATGTTTCCGCTCAACCCTACCATTTTGTTGAGGAGTTCCCACACAGGAAGTTTGAAATAGAATTCCAGTATCAGAAAAAAAATCACGCAAGCAATTGAATTCAATACCGTTGTCACTCTGAACGACTTTGATTGATTGAGAGAATTGTCTATCAATCATAGCCACAAAACACAAGAACATTTTAAAAACCTCAGTTTTATCCATCATCAAATAAATCCAAACTGCTCGCGAATAATCATCTATTATAGTCAAGAAATAACGTGCACCACAAGAGGATTGATGTTTGTAAGGACCCCACAAATCACAATGTGTTTTCTCAAATATTCGAGATGCTCTGTTATTACTCAAAGGAAACTTATCTCTAGGTTGCTTAGCACGAAAACAAACCTCACAAGCTTTATTAAAACTTCCCACAGCAGTGCCAAAAGACGGAAGTAGTTTTACCACTTTTTCAGATGGATGACCCATTCGTTGATGCCAAAGATTGACTGAACTTGTCACACCATTTACTGTAGGATGTTGCACTGAATCGATTCCCTTGAAGTAGTAAAGTCTATCCCGCCTAACACCCGTTCCAATCAGTTCCCCCGATTGGTCCTGTATAGCACACATATAAGAGTTAAAGTGGACATTGCTATGCATAGCATCATTTAACTGAGAAACAGAAATAAGTTTGCAACTTAAAGACGGAACATAAAGGACATGATTAAGAACAATTTTGTCTGTTAATCGAACCGAGCCCTCTCGAGTTGCAACTACTGTTTTTCCGTTGGGTAAACCAACAGGGCAATGAAATATATCTTTTGCATCAGTCATTCGAGTGGAATCACCAGTAACGTGACGAGAAGCCCCTGTGTCAATTATCCACAACCGTGGATCAAATTTACCATTCAATTGATCATCAAAAATCTCTGTACCACTAATCAGCCCTGTTAATGCATGCGACTGCTCGTCGTCAGCCATTGATGAGTTTATGCGCAGGTATAAACCTGGGCGACTGATACCATGTAGAATACAAATAAACAAGAAGAAGAGGAAAAACTAATATATTGTGTCTTATGTCAACTTTAATACAAGCACTTGTATATATAGTGCTAACAAGATGATGAAAAATAAATACAAATGAGAAAACAAAGAGACACATGGAAAACCCAAGAGACACATGGGAAACCCAAGAGACATATGGAAAATCCAAGAGACACATGACTATTAATATAGATGATTAATATCATCAAATATCTCAACAAGTCGTGTGCCATTAGTATGTATGCCGTGTGCATGACCGAATGCCATAATTTGTATGTCGTCTGCCCGTAATCAGTCCGCACAGTCCTCTATATATTGTGGTCCTCCTCTGAACTCAACCCTATATAAATAAATAAATAAACATATATATATATATATATATATATATATATATATATATATATATATATATATATATATATATATATATATATATATCAAAAGATTGTGTTAATTGAAAATAATTCAAAGATAACTTTGAATTTTTATTGACATATAATTTTTTAACACTTGATTTAAAAAAAAAAAAAATCAGTTGGACTAATCCCGAAATAGTATTCATTTAAACTTTGGGCCTCTATATGAAGTTTAGTTATAAATTAATTTATTATTCTCTAATAAATACAAAGTCTCTATTAATTGAATTATTATATTAAATGATTGTTATTGTTAAGTAGATTTAATGTTAAATAATAATTTTGAAGTTGTGGGTTCAAATCTCTGCTCATTCAAGAAAATTTTTTTCTCTTAACTTTATCAGAAAATAAAAATCCAAGCTAGGGGCCCCTTTCAATATTGGGCCCTGGGCGAGTGCTCATGTTGCCCACTCCTCTGGGCCGGCATGTATATACAACTGCCTTAGAGATACCCTCTGTATGTGTGGATCACCCCATGATTAAAAAGAAGTGGCATAAAAATAATTAGACATTTACCACTCTCTCTAACAAAACCTTAAAATGGCTAAATATAAACAACTCAATTAGCTCAGCTCTTTCAACTTTGAAAGAGTTGCTAGCCGTAAACAACTAAAGTGTTTCTTAGTTTCTTTTGTGATACATCCCACAGTTTTGTAACAGAACACCTTGTTTGTTTGTATATTATAAAATCTAGTAAATTTGGTCCGATTCAGTGAGCTAAATTAAGCCATCAGGAATATATATAATATTCAGAAGAGCCAATGGTTATTGCTTGGATAGCCATCGCATCGCAATTTGGATAAACTTCAAATTTTATCATACATTTGACGCTGGATAGTATAAAAGCATGGATCTAAACACTTTGAAGCTCACTTTTCTTCTTCCAAAAATGGCTTTCTTATGGCTATTCATCTTCCTTGCTTCCTTCTTCTGTACAAATGCAGAGCTTATAAGTTCTCTGCCCGGGCAGCCTCAGAATGTCACCTTCAAGCAGTATTCTGACTATATTGTCACAGATGATCGCCATGGCAGAGCTCTGTTCTACTATTTTGTGGAAGCACACTCAAAAGACGCACTGTCACTCCCTCTTACATTGTGGCTTAATGGAGGTAATATCATCATCTTTCTTGATGTATTTTTGTTGGGCGGAGGCCGGTAAGGCCAAGTCCAACACCGTGTGGCTAGTGAGATTGTTGAACAGAAGTCTGTAAAGGGTCAAGTTCGCCTCTAGAAAATGTGTGGCGGTATAAAAAAATAAAGTTAGGCATTGACATAGTGGTAAGCGTTGTATTATAGTCAATAACTAGTTGGAACAATTAAGTCTGAATAGTGTGGGAGGGAAGCAAATTATATCATGGACCATGGTCTACCTTGCATTGTATCGCAAATTATGCCCTAGAAACGTGTTCACCATGAATGGTGAACACGGGTCCAAACGGCGCCGTTTTTACGTTAAAAAAATAAAAATAAAAATTCGCGGATGTGGTGTTAACGGCGCGCGTTTGGTCAGATTATGAATTTTCTGTTATGAGATTATGAATGTACTGTAAATTCATAATCTCATAACAGAAAATTCATAATCGCATAAAAGAAAAACATTTATTAAATTATGAATTTTCTGTTATGAGATTATGAATTTACTGTAAATTCATAATCTCATAACAGAAAATTCATAATCTCATAACAGAAAATTCATAATTTATGAATGTTGAAGAAGCTTGCGCTACAGAGGAGCAATCATGGTTTCAGACGGGAATGTGTAGGCACGGGTCCAAAGTGAATGTGCAGGCATGGATTCATAATTTATGAATGTCCGGAATCATTGCTCACCTCAAATTAAAGTGAAACCGCGAAATGTGAAAATGAAGAAGAAAAGTCACGCGATTAATTAAGAAAAAAAAAAAAAAAAAGATAACGGTGCACTAACACCGTTGGGACCGTGTTCACCATGGATGGTGAACACGGTTCTATGGCATAACGATTGGCATTGTATTGATAGTGCTATCATATTAGGTAACCTTCAGATTTTGTATTTATAGTGGACATATTATGTACCTGCATTTGATAATGTATCTGTAGCTATCATATTATGTGTCAGCAATTATAAATACATAAACTGTTAACTGTAAGTACAATATATGTTAACTGAAAGTACAAAATTTTTGTATTAAGATTCACAATGTAATATAAATCTTGGTCCATCGTATAATAATTGTGGGACGGATGGTAAATGCTTGATGCTAACAATTTTGTTAATATTAGGCAGGCCCGGGATGTTCTTCTGTTGGCCTTGGTTTGTTCATGGAAAATGGTCCATTTAGGCCAGGGAAAGATGGGAACCTCATAAAGAATGAATTTTCTTGGAATTTAGGTAATGTTGACTTCGTTTGTTTTTTCAAGAATCTAATTAATCTTTTTTTTTTTTTTTCTTATTTGAATGTTGGATATATATATTGACTAAGTTGATCGAAAATGTAATGAAATGATCAGTGTCGAACATGTTATATGTTGACTCCCCTGTTGGAGTTGGATTTTCATACTCTAATACCACCTCAGACTACAACAATTGGAACGATACCATGACAGGTAGGTACTAATTTTTTACCTTGAATGACCAATTTTAACTAAGAGCAATCACATCAACTTCAAATTTTTCACAAATTTTTATGTGCCAACAAAGAGAAGAAGGAAAAAAAAAAAAAAAAAGATCTGACTATTCTGACGCAATTATATATATATATATATATATATATATATATATATATATATATATATATGCTGAAGACGCGCCCTAGGCGCTATATGTGCACCCAACGCGTACAAATTGAGTACTTTCTGTCTTCTCTCATTTGGGACCCACAAAGTACTTAAAATTGGAAGAGTAAAAATCAGTCAAAAAACCATTACCGATATCAACAAAAAATTATTTTTTAAGTTTTTAATCTGACAAAAATAATAAAAAAAAATCTTTGGTGTGGTTACTCTAAGTTGATAGATTTAATTTGGCTGTTTTGTTTACTTTACTCTCTGACAGCTGATGAAAATTTGAAGTTCCTCCTCAAGTGGTTCGAGAAATTCCCCGAATACAGAAATCTAGATTTGTATTTAGCCGGGGATAGTTATGCAGGTAAACATTAATTAATGATTATATATATAGGGTCCAGACATCACAGATAATCATGTCTTAGGTGAAAACGTGTGAACTACTGAATGAATGCACTGCAACTACATACTCAATAAATGTACCTACTCCAAACATGCATGGAGGATGAGCGGAGAACTTTGACAAAGCTTTACAGTGTATTCATGTAGTATTTGCGGTACATTTCTACAATTCGCACGTTCTTACCTAAGGAAGTGTTATCTGAATCTATACTCTTAATTAATTTTGTCCAAACTTTAATTAGTGCCATATAATAGAAGCATCATCATCTTTGAAAATGTATGAGTGGTGTGCATGGAATGGTATCAGGTCACTTTGTACCTCAACTTGCTGCAGTAGTACTTGAATACAACAGGAAACCAAATGTCAACCCAATCAAGCTCAAAGGCATTGCTGTGAGTTCCTTCAATTCAATTCTACACATTATATATATATATATATATATATATATATATATATATATATATATATATATATATATATATATATATATATATATATATATATATATATATATATATTTTTTTTTTTTTTTTTTTTTTTTTTAAAGTTATTTACATTATTTCAGAATTCATTTAATTTGTTTTTGGGTTAATCTTTTGGATCACCGGCCAGCTTGGGAACCCACTTCTAGATATTGTGATCAGTGTTGATTCAGCTGATTATCTGTGGTACCATGGAGCCATTTCTGCAGAACTGCGCACTATGAAGAAGAAACTATGTAACGGAACAAGATTCTTCCTTGAGTACTCACAAGATAAACCATCTGAAGATTGTAAGAAAATGATGGCTAAAATGGACGAGGAGTTGGGCGTCGATTTCGATACCGGAGATATGCTCTTGCCCAGATGTGTATCTGGACAACAAGACGTAAGTAAAACATATATATGGTGCATACATATACAAGAGTCGCTCTCCCCGACCTTGATGTTATTCATTTTCCACCATGCACCCAATATATAACTCTTAGCTTGTTTCTTTTATGTTGGGCGGAGGCGGTAAAGATTAACTCTAGCATTAGTTGGTTGGGGATTGTTGAACAGAGGCCGGGTCAAATTCAACACTCAGTGAGTCTGTTTGGCAAATCTTATTTAGGAGCTTATAGCTTATTTTAAGCTACTAATAAGCTATAAACCATTTCGTTAATGATCCCAAAATAAGCTCGTAGCTTAAAATAAGAGCTTATTTTGGAACGCTACTTTAGGTAGCGTTTCAAAATAAGCTAGTAGTTTCCTAACTGTTTTTCAAAATAAGCCATGTTTGTTAATGGAGAAGACAGCCAGATCTCGCCGTTCTTCTCCACGACCAGATCTGGTCGTTCTTCTCCAATGGAGAAGGCGGCCGTCCGGTTGTCTTCTCCAGTGGAAGACGACTGGACGGCCATATTTTGTCGCTGGTGACCGGATTTTTTTGCCGATCGACGGAATTGAAATGACCTGTAATAACAGGTCATTTACCGGTTTTTGGGCTTCATTAACCCAATTTGACATGTTTGAGGGTTTAATTGCACTTTTGTAAAGTTTAGGGAGCTAATTGACCTTTGGATAAAGTTTACGGGCCTATTTAACCCTTTTCTCTTTTTATAATAATAATGTGATACTCTATAAGCTCATTTGGTTTTAAATTATTTATTTGTTTTTATAAACTATAATTCTTTATTTATGAAAGCATTGATGCGGTTATTGATTATTTTGGATTTAGGAATGCATCTAGAATTGTTTTTATGTGTATGTATAATTGTTAAAAAGTTGTGAATCTTATTTCAAATTATTTGACATTAATATTTTTTCTCTTATTTAATTTGAATTTTAGTTATAAGAATATATATTAATTTAATATAGGGCTCATTTTTGTTGCTATGCCCTGAGCCTATAAAATGATAGAACCAGCCCTGAGTCTAGCACCTTGTGGCTAGGGATTTATGGGCGGATGCCGAGCCAAGTCCGGCATTCAGGATCTCGAAAATGTGTTGCGGTATAAAGAAATAAAGTTACGCATTCGCTAGGTCACCTATGGATTCAAATCCTAACAATAACATGTTGGCGAAGGCTGAGCCAAGTTCATATGCAGTAATGTTGGGAGGTAGAATTATTGGATAAAGGTCGGTAAAGGCCAAGTCTAACACTCCGTTATTAAAAGAGTGTTAGGTGGAGGCCAGCTACTAAGAGCATCCACATTGGTTGGGGAGAATGGGGAGATAATGTAAGAGTGATTAGGAAAGAGAATGTGGGAGGGGAGAGAAAAAAAAAAAAAAAAACAAAACAAAACAAAACAAAATTTTAAAATAAAAAAAATAAAGTAATCAGACGCGTCACTGGCGCGCCTGACGCGCCCGACTTTTGACCAGGCTGTGCGCGAAACGCGCACAGCCTTACTTCTTCTTCTTCTTTTTTTTTTTTTTTTTTTAAAATTTTCTGACAATATCCCTTCATTTGCAGGACAAATCTTTTTCAATAATCTCCCCTCCACATTAGCTATTATCTCTTGTAGGGAAGAATTCATTCTGAAATCTCTCCATAATATGCACAAGTGTGGATGCTCTAACTAACTATAGCACTTTATCCTAACACTTTATTGTTTTAGCTTGGTAGTGAAACAACAGGCATTGGGGATCCATGCCTTGCTGACAGGATAATTGAATACATAAACAAGCCAGAAGTTCAGAAAGCTTTACATGCCAATACAACTGGCCTGCCATACCTGTGGGATCTCTGTTCAGGGTATATTATATATATATATCTACTTCAATTAATCTATGATTCTCTCATCATGTTTCAAAGCACCAAAAAAGTGTCTGCTAATATAAACTAACGTGTATAACTAAAAAATGCGTGCAGGCCTATTAAGTATCAGATGGACAATTTAGCTATTAACATCATGCCTACATTGTCAGCATTTCTGAAGAAGGACCATATCCCAATTCTGCTTTACAGGTTAGTTGATTAAGTTTTGATAATCAGTAATTTCTAATCCTTTTTTATATCCCATTTCTGAAGAAGGAGCATATCCCAATTCTACTTTTTTTTAATTTTAAGTATTTTTATTTTTTATTTTCAAATAGTGGAGATCAAGATGTAAAAGTTCCGGTCACACAAACAAGGAAAATTGCAAATATGCTTGCTAGACATGTGAAGCTCACCACTTTGCAGGAGAATGGTCCATGGTATAATGGCTATCAGGTACATCACTTTGCTAAAATGAATTGAAGAAACCACATTAAATTCAAATTCCCTTCTGCAAAAATTAATTTTGGAAGGAATTCCGACAACCCTCCGGTGAAATTCCGACAGAATTTCAGGCAACAAAGTGACCGGCAACTGGAGTCACAAAGAAAGAGAAGCCGACCACTAGGAGAGAAGGCAACGTAGTTGGTCGCCTCCTCAACCAGAGAAGGCGACCCAGATTTGGGTAGTCTTCTCGCCGGAGAAGGCGACCCAGTGTCTCCTTCTCCATGACCGGGCGACTGTTCACTTTGTTACTTGGCTGAAGGGTTATTAGAATCCTAATAACCTGTGATAGAAGTCATTAACTAGTTTTTTAGGATCTATTTGACCATTTTTTCATTTTAAAATAATTTAGTACTTGTTCAGGTTTTTCACTTTAAGCTAGCATAGGTCAAAGAGTTTAAATTCTTCATTGCTTGTTGGCTGTTATTTTGTAGGTGGGAGGATGGAGTCAAGCTTTTGGTAAATTGAGGAAAGGGAAAAACGTGACATACTTGACGTTTGCAACAGTGAAGGGGGGAGCTCATATGGTGCCATTTACATCTCCTTCTCAATCTCTTATACTTTTCAAATCATTTATCAATGGATCTCCACCACCCACAACTAGCCTCAACTAGCTTAATTGCTAGTCATATATGCTTAGAAACACATATTGTTAAATTTGTGTACTACTATGACCTATCAAAGTTCAATTTTTTTTTTTTAAGAAATTACCAGTGTAATAAAGTTGTGTCGTTATTCCATTAAGAGTTTATTACCAAAATGGTCCCTCGACTATTGTGAAATTACCAATTTGGTTCTCGACAATTTTTCTTACCCAATTAAGTCCTCGACTTTGAAAATGTTAACCATTTTGGTCCTCGGTTAAAATTCCATCCATAAAGCTGTTAAATTTAAGGATAAAAAAGTAATTTCATATATTTTATTTATTAAAATTTTTCTTCTTTCTTATCTCAAAAAAAAAAAAAAAAAAAAAAAACAAATTCTTCTTCCTCGTCAACCTGGAGAAAAGCTTCGTCGTCACCTTCATCAACACCCATTCCGTGCATTACCACCTCACCAAGCTCAACCGCCAGGACGACGACATCTTCTCCGGCATTCGCAAGCCCGGCCTCAACATCCGCTACGTCACCATCTCAGACGGCCTCCCGCCGGAGTGGGATTAGGCAGTGAACCACGACCAGTTCATGGCCTCGCTCCTGCATGTCTATTCCGCCCAAGTCGAGGAGGCTCTCAAGAAAATCCATCTTGACGTCGTCTGCGAATTCTGGCGGTCCTCCCGTTAACTGCTTGATCGCCGATACTTTCTTGTCTTTCCCGGAAAACTGGCCAAGAAATATAAGCTTCTGTATATTTCTTTCTGGACGGAACCAGCTTTGGTTTTTACCCTTTATTATCACCTCCATCTCTTGCGCCTCAACGGCCACTTTGGCTGCATTGACGTGCGTGAGGACCTGATCAAGTACGTGCCTGGAGTGCGATCAATTGAGGTGAAGGATTTGATGTCGTACATTCAAGAAACGGAAACGGAGACGATATGCCACCAGATAATTTACAACTCGTTCCAAGGCGCAAGAAACGCAGATTTCGTGTTGTGCAACACCGTCCAAGAGCTCGAGCACGAAACCGTGGCGGCTAGAAAAGAAGCCGTTTTTCACGGTGGGCCCCATCTTCCCGCCGGTGTTCGCCCAGAGCGTAGTGGCGACGAGCCTCTGGTCGGAGTCCGACTGCACCCAGTGGCTCCAAATTCCCGGCTGGAGAGCGTGCAGTGGTTCCCAGAGCTTTACGGGAAGACAAGGAAGAAGACAGCGTTAATAAATAAAATAGGTGAAATTACTTTTTTGTCCTTAAATCTAACAGTTCATGGATGGAATTTTAACGGAGGACCAAAATGGTTAACATTTTTAAAGTCGAGGACTTAATTAGGTAAGAAAAATTGTCGAGGACCAAATTGGTAATTTCACAATAGTCGGAGGACTATTTCGGTAATAAACTCTTCCATTAATAATTAAGAAAATTAATGTATTATTGAATAATTTTGAAAAAGTATTTTATTATAATATGTTCATAAACTTACTTTTATTTGAAAAAGTATCGAATAAACCCTTAAATCCACAAAATAGTGTAATTGAGTCCCTAATTAAAAAAAATACAATTGAGTCCTAATTTGACTTATTGGTAACACTAGTACAGAAACAGTCATTTGCGTCCAAAGTAAAGCCTCATTCGCGTCCAAAGTAAAGCCTCATTCGCGTCCAAAGTAGCTGGGACGCAGATGTCGGGGACGCGAATTGTATATACAATTCGCGTCCAAAGCTACTTTGGACGCGAAAAATGATTAATCGCGTCCAAAGTTGAAGAACTTTGGACGCGATTTATCCGATCTGACTGTTGACTACTGACTTTTCGCGTCCAAAGTTGGTCAACTTTGGACGCGAAATGTCAGTAAATCGCGTCCAAAGTTCTTCGACTTTGGACGTGATTTATCATTTTGTTTTAATAAAATGATAATTCGCGTCCAAAGTTGAAGAACTTTGGACGCGAATTATTGTTTTTTATTTTATTTTATTTTAACTTATTAATAAATCCAGTTTTTTTCCTGTACAAAAAATTATATTTTTCATCCTGTACATGCAGTCACAACCACTACCACTTCAAAGCTTTCAACTAAAGTTCAATACATCATCAATTTGCCAACACTTTAACACTAAATAATTAAACTACACTACTTCAACACATGTGTAATAAGCTAGATAAGTACACTACTTCAACTAAGTTCAGTACATCATCAATACGCCAACACTTTAACACTAAATAATAAGCTAGATAAGTACACTACTTCAACACATATGTAATAAGCTAGATAAGTACCAACAATACATCATTACAATTCAACTAACTAATATAATTAAATCACACTTCAAAAATTTATATACATTCTTGAGTAAAATATTTAGACCAAATCTCACGAACCTCATCAATTTGCGCTTCTGAATAAGGCTTTCTATTAAAGAATAATTCCTACAAAAATTTAAAATAATCAAATAATTACAGGGCGTTTGGTTGGAGGGATTTTAAATTCCCTTCCCACTTAATTCCCACCTAATTCCAAAGGCCATTAAATTTCGTAGTTTGGTTGGAGGGAATTGCAATTCCATGGAATTGCAATTCCCCTATTTTCATGGAATTAAAATCTCATGTCCCCCCTGGTATTTTAATTCCTGGGAAAAAAAGATAGTGATGAGTCAAAATTACCCCTTCCTTTTTTAACCTAAAATTAATGTCTAACAACAATAGTGGACATTTTTGATTTTATACTACTTATTCCCTTTCAATTCTCATGTATACCAAACATTGGAATTGAAATTCCCAGTAATTCTATTCCTGTCAACCAAACACTGGAATTTAAATTACCACTTTATTCCCAGTAATTCAACTCCCATGGAATTACAATTCCATTCCCACATAATTCCCCCCCTCCAACCAAACGCCCTGTTAGTTTTAACATTACTAAAGTGTAATTTAAAACTATTTACTTTTAATAAATTTTACATACCATATCCAAATCATCAGAATCCCAACATTGAGTGCATATTTCATACATGAATCTCATCACATAATACCCGCACTCCACACCACCCGGTTGTTGAGGACACTAGAAAATATGTTTATATATTAATATTTTAAACAATAAAAATATTAATATGAAATATGAAAGATATATATACCTCAATGTGAACCCAATCAACGTTGTTTTTAGATCTTCTCCCTCCTAAAGTTTCAACCGATCGAAATGCCCTATAATATACAATCATAAATAATTTATAAACAATAATGGTTAATAATAATTCTCAAAATATAATATATATAAATATATATATATATATATATATATATATATATATATATGTGTGTGTGTGTGTGTGTGTGTGTGTGTACTTACACATTCAATATGGCCTTAATCTCAAACTCGCGATCACTTGTTGCAATGGAGTCTAATACATAGACTTTTCTTAATGGAACAGAAATAACTAGAAGCATCCAATGATTTCTAAGGCATTTAAATGAATATGTTAAGTGTTATTCACAAATAATGCAATTAAGTTAAACAAATAATTAAAAATATAAATATAGTTTTCTTACTTTTCATGGTATGGAGCTAAAATGAAGTGTCGATTCGTCTGTTCAACCATGGCATTCACAAGATATTTTGAGACCTTATCAATATCCGCACGTACAGAGTCAGTACAAATAGTCCTTGGGCAGAGGAATCCAATTGTATGAACTCCAATTTTGGAGCACAACCGACTAAGACATCTACAACATATATATAGATAATTAATAAAAATGAACGACTAAAGACAAGTTTTTAAATATAAAAACATTATAAAAATACTATATAAACTTTTTTAGATTTCTACAATCATAACAAGGACACACTATATAATTTTCACCAATTTTACTTGCATATTCCTCGGCAATTTTAACAAACTCTTGAACCCCATGAACATATTCAAGTGTATTGCGTTTTTTATACATCCAACTCCGATCCATATCTCCTATATATTGTCACACAACATTTAAGAAATGATAAATGAGTTAGTTTCTTAAGTTATAACTTAAAGGTTCAAATTAAAGCTTTAAATAAATTTATCAACAATACCTAACATATACAATAATACACAACGAATTTGTCAACAATGTCTAACTTATACAATAATACACAACAAATTTGTATATACAATAAACAAATAATACAATAATTAATGATTTACGAATACATCAAATGCAATGTAGGTAATTTTCTTCCACCAATGCTACAATAACCATTGATCCACAACTACTAAAATAACTTTTAATATTTTAACCAAGTAACAACATTATCCAAATTAAAACATTTATAAAATTATACGGTAAAGGTGCAATCTCTATAAACAAATAATACAAATAACACAACAAATTTGTATATACAACAATAACAAATAATACACAATAACAAATAATACACAATAAACAACAATAACAAATATACAATAATACACAATAAACAACAATAACAAATAACAAAAAAAAAATTAAAATAATTAATGATTTTTGAAAAAAAAAAATTAAACAAACTCACCGTACCTCTGCCGGCGTTCGTAGCAGCGACGGTGGTGGCGGGGGATGTAGCAGCGGCGACCGGCGTCCGGCGTTCGTAGCAGCGGCGGTGGTGGCGTGCGATGTAGCAGCGGTGACCGGTGGTGGTTGGCGTGGTAGCAGCAGCGGAGACCGGCGGTGCTTGGCGTGCGAGCAGCAGCGACGACCGGCGGACGATGAACGGCAGGTGTGAGGTCTGAACGGCGGACGATGAACGGCGAGCGAATTGAAGGACGGAGGAAGGAGACGGCGGAGAGGTCTGATTTGGGGGGTTAGGGCGGAGAGCGGGCTGAATTGGATTTGGGGGTAGATTAGAAAATTAATTCGCGTCCAAAGTTGCCAATTTTGGACGCGAATTATATCCGCATTAAGTCATTCACGTCCAAAGTTGGCAACTTTGGACGCGAACTTTAGTCTCATTAAATTATTCGCGTCCAAAGTTCGAAACTTTGGACGCGATTTATTTAAATATATATATATATATATATATATATATATATATATATATATATATATATATATATATATATATATATATATTGGCAATTTAATTACAAAATTGCCA